GGGTCTGTGCGAGGGGCGGGGTCAGCATGAGGGGGCGGGGCTTTGACACGGGGGCGCCCAGTGAGGAACTGGGGCGGGTGCTGGGCTGTACTGGGGGGTACTGGGAGTGCTGGGAGCTGTACTGGGAGCTGTGCTGGAGGGTACTGGGAGCATTGAGATGCACTGGGAATGCTGGGAGCTTTACTGGGAGCACTGGGAGCTGTACTGGGGGGTACTGGGAGCTGGCCTCGGGTATACTGCGAGTGCTGGGGGCTGTACTGGGAGTACTGGCAGCTGTACTGGGAGCTCTGGGAGCTGTACTGGGAATACTGGGAGCATTTTACTGGGAGCATTGAGCTGTCCTGGGAGTACTGGGAGCTATACTGGGAGTACTGGGAGCGCTTTACTGGGAGCACTGAGCTGTACTGGGAGCTCTGGGAGAATTGAGCTGTACTGGGGAGTACTGGGAGCACTGCACTGTACTGGGAACACTGACCTGTGTACTGGGGAGCACTGAGCTGAACTGGGGAGCACTGGGAAGGTGTTTTGAAGGATTTTTCCCTGGGGAAGGGATGCGCTCCGGCTGGGAGCGAGGCCGCCCCCGTCCCCCCCTCCCTGCGTGGCTGGGGTGGCACTTTGCAGGCAGCCAGGCGGTGACAGCGTGACGAGCCACTGCAGTATTCATCCTGGCATTTCCTCCGTGCCAGCCCTTCCCAGCTGGCACCGGCTGCGGGATGGCACCGGGATGAGCCAGCCCCCGCCATGGCCTCAGCGGGATCCAGGGGACTCTGCTCCCTCTCCCTTTGGGATGTGGATCTCCTCCAGCTCCTTCCTGGAGTGGTGTCAGCAGGGCAGGGACTCCCTGGCACCTCAGCCTCCTTCAGTTTTTCTGGAATTCCAGAATTCTGGAATGGTTTGGGTCGGAAGGGACATTAAAACCCATTCTCTTCCACCCTTGCCATGGCAGGAACACCTCCCACTGTCCCAGGCTGCTCCCAGCCCTGTCCAACCTGGCCTTGGGATCCAGGAGCAGCCTGGTACTGCTCTGGGCACCCTGTGCCACCTCCCTCCCAGCCAAGAATTCCACGGATCCAACCTAAACCTCCTCTCTTTCCGTCTGGCCCTTGTCCCGTGGCTGCGGTTCCTGAGGGATGCCCCTCTCCCACCCCACGGCTGCAGCCAGCAGTGACACTCGAGCGGGCAGGACAGGCACAACAATTCCAGCGTGGAGAAAAGGAGCTCGGGCCCATCCCCGGGGTGCCCTCGGCCACACGAGTGTCCGTGCCACCAAGAGTGACAACATGGAGGCGGTGAAACCTGCGCGCGCAGGCACAACAATTCCAGCATGGAGAAAAGGAGCTCGGGCCCATCCCCAGGGTGCCCTCGGCCACACGAGTGTCACACGCTGTCCGTGCCACCAAGAGTGACAACATGGAGGCGGTGAAACCTGCGCTCCTGCCCTCCTCACCCTCAGAGCAGCCCGTGCCCCCATTCCCTGGCGGCTCCAGCCCTTCAGGCACAAATCCGTCCCCAGGAGATGAGCTCTGCCTCTCCTCTCCCCGCTGCTGCCGAGCTGCCCGCCTTGCAGCTAATGAACGCAATTAGTGCAGATGGGTTTATTCTCATTAGGGAGCCGGGCCTGGCTGCGGCCCGCGCGCGGAGCAGCGCCTCGCCCACGCTCTCCATGGCAGCTCCTCACCTCCTCCTGCTCGGCAGATGCTGCTCCACAGCCAAATCCTGGCGAGGCGGGCGTGGAAGGGAGCGAGTGTTGGAGCCAGGGAGCCACGGAACAGCTGAGCTGCCTGGCAGCCCAGGAGAGACTTGGCTGCTTCCTCCCCAGAGACACCATTTTGCTTTGGAGCTGCTCTGATGGACACGGAAAGGGATGGAGGGGCTGGGAGTTGAGCTTGGTGCTTAGAAAAACTGGAATATCGGCACAGATCCGTGCTGGGCTGGGTGCTGGTGGTTTTATTTCAGAATCTATGGTGACACCTGGCTTGGAGCACCTTGGGACAGCGGAAGGTGTCCCTGTGAATGACAGGGGGTGAAAATGGATGACTTTCAAGGTCTCTTCCAAGCCAAACCATTCCAGGATTCTGTGATTCCATGATGCTCACTCTGCACTACCAAATCATCACCAGATCACATACTCTGCTCCTGCCAAATCCCCACATCCTGAATTTTCCCTAAGTTTTCACAGGACCCTCAGCGCTGAGTGTCTTCCCCCACATTTTGGGGCTGCTTGGCCTCAGCTCATTCCTGGACTCTGCTTTGGAGCTGCTCTGATGGACACAGAAAGGGATGGACACAGAAAGGGATGGGAGTTGAGCTTGGTGCTTGGAAAAACTGGAATATCAGCACAGATCCATGCTGGGCTGGGTGCTGGTGGTTTTATTTCAGAACCTAGGTGACACCTTGTTCCTGAGCACAGAAATGAGCTGATGCCAAGCAGCCTTAAAATGTGCCAGCAAAAGTGTCCAGCAGCTTTGCTGGGAAAACACTCACCCCTGAGGGTCCTGTGAAACTGGAGGGAAAATTCAGGATGTGGGGAATTTGGCAGGAGCTGAGTGTGTTTGGTTTTGTGATCAGGAAGCGTTTTGGTAGTCCAGAGTGAGAATCATGGAATCACAGAATTTTGGAATGGTTTGGCTTGGAAGGGACCTTAAAAGTCATCCAGTTTCACCCCCCTGTCATTCACAGGGACACCTTCCACTGTCCCAAGGTGCTCCAAACCCCAGCCAGCCTGGCCTTGGACACCTCCAGGGATCCAGGGCAGCCACAGCTTCCTTGCACCCTGTGCCAGGGTCTCCCCACCCTCCCATTAAAAAATTCTTCCTTATGTCTGAGCCTGAATCAACCCTCTTTTAGATTAAAACCCTTTTTGCTGTCCCTCCAGGCCCTATAAAAATCTGTCTTTCTTTAGAAGGTTCCTTCAGGCCCTGCAAGGGGCTCTGAGCTCTCCCTTTTCCAGGTGAACACCCCCAGCTCTCCCAGAGCGTTTTCCAGACCATGAGCAGCTCCATGGCCTCATCTGGATTTGCTCCTGTGCCGAGTGCCAGGGCTGGCAGAAGGAGGAAAGAGAGGGGAGAAGGATGGACAATGAAATTGGGAATTTTAAGTCTCTCAATTTCTGAGCAAGGAGCAATGTCCCACCCTGAAGGAGCCTGTTCTCCCCTGACCTGCCCCATCCTGTGGGAACAAAAAGCTGCTGAAACCTCAGGCCCAAAACTCCTGCTAAACCCTCCCTGGCAGGGAGAACCCCTTGGGAACTGCCTCCAACCACAACCAGGACAGGATCCCACCTCCCCAGGGCTCGACACGCACAGAGCAGCACCTCCAAAGGCTTGAAACAAATCCAAAAGTTTATTTCCAACGAGTACACAGACCATGTGGGATGGGGATGCGCTACACCACGACTGGCTTTCGCCTACAACCACCCCCTCCCCAAAATCCTGCTGCTGGCAGGGTGGCAAACCATGGACAGAATTGCTACCAGCAACCTTTGCAGACAATAAAAGTCCTTTTTCCAGTACTCCAGATATTTTTTTTCTTTAAAAGCCTGGGGGTAGTGGAATGTCGTTTGAGGCCAGGCTGGAAATCCAGCATGGGGATGGAGGGATGGGTGGGATTTTTGTTTTGAGGAGGGGAAAACAACCTTGGCAGGCGATCTCTGCTTGGCTAACAAAGGCAGATCTGTGTAAATAGAAATAGTGGGGTGAAATACCTGGCAGCACACCAATGGCAACACCACAACCAACAGCAAATCAAGCCCAGCAACGTAAAACACCTTCAATGAATAGTTTGGGTTAATTCAAAACCTCCCCCTCCCCGCTCCCCCATATTCATGCAGGTTTATTTTGTTGTCTAAGGTATTAAGAATTCGAGTTGTAAAAGAGGCAAGTCATTAAAAAATTATTACAAACCACTTTTGTGACAGTGTTTGAGAAGGGGTGGGGTGGGAGCCCCGGGTCAGACCGGCTGCACTTCACTCTCTGTGGCAATAAATCAGATTAAGAAGAAAAGACAAAACTCGGGATGGGGTTTTTACATCTCTGCCTGGTAACACCAAGAGTGAAAGCACCTGCAGAGCAAACCCTTCATCCACCCTTCATCCTAAAGTGACGGGAGCTGTAGTAAAAAGATCAAAATTGGGGGAATTAGGGGGGGCTGGGATCATCTAGGCTACTCGTGGCTTATAAACATTCCCAGGTGCCAAAAGTTTGGAGTCCAGTGTGAGAAGAACTGGCCTTCTCCGTAGAAGAACTAGAAAAAGAGTATGAAAAGGTAGAAAAACCAAAAAGCACTTTTTTTTACGGGCTAGAAAGAGTTACCAAAAGGTACCTAAAGACTTTCACCCTCCTGGATCCACAGGGATTTTTAAAAGCTCACAACTGGTTCAGCGGGGTCACCACAGACCCCTAAACCTCTTTGTGACCCCCAGCTCCTTTTGTACATAAATCCCCACATCATGATTCCCAAAGTGATGGTTCCCAAAGGGATGGTTCCCAAAGTTTCCCAGGAGGACAGATGAGCAGGGGAAAGCCAGGAGGTGTTTAGCAGCAGGAAGGAGAGACAAGCCACATCCACAAAAGCACAGACCCGAGGAGGAGCCCAGAAAGGTGGCGTGTGTCCCCCAAGAGCTGGGAGCAGATGGAGCAGACCTGGGAATAACTGCCCAGCCTGGCATGGAGCCCAGGCCGTGTGTAAACAGGGAGTCAGGCACCTCCAGGAAGG